GGATTTAAAAGTTATGTACCTATCTCCTGTAGTACTTGATAGTCGTATAACAAGAGAAAAGATCACATACTGAGAATTTCACGTATATGTCTTATTTTCTTTGTGTTTGAGAGTACAATCTAAGTTAGTAAAATTTGTGTTTAATGCAGCAGATTATTTTTAATAAATATGTTTAAATAAAAAAATGTTTATGGAAAAGAAAAATATATATATGTTCGAGATTGCAAAAAGTATTTCAATGAATTTATATAAGAAACGAATGTTTCAAATGCATACTGGAGTTTATAAGAAAGCATCTAACATAGAAATATACCTAGGGTAATACGCCTTAACTTCTTCTGTCGTTTAAATAAATAGGTCCCTAAGAAGTAAAGCTGCATGTATTACACCAATTCACAATACGTTCAAGGATTATTATAAAAAGCGTGATGGAAGAAGGGTAATTTGGAGAATTTAACATTCAATGTTAACAATGACATTTACAAAGTACTAAGTCTATTTACTAACTGCGTACTTTCTATAAATACGTTTAACATATTAAGAAATACATTTGTAAAAAGCAAAAAAAATCTTTGATTTAAAGTTATAACATCCTATGTCAATTTCTGATAAGTTTTTGGCTACACTAATCATAGCACTTTCTTGATCTTAGTTACTTAAGTATTCCTATGCCATTCTTGATATTTACAACTGAACTTGCAAAGTTACTATCCAAAAATAATTTAGATATCATATATAAAGCGTTTACATTTGTTGGTATATTTTCCGTTATATATAGCATGTTTAATTTCGATGCTGTTTTTTTTTTTTCGAAGGGGTACTTTAACAATTTCAGTCATGCGATAGTATTTAAACCCAACGTTCCTTGAATTTCCATACCAACAAAATTAACATTTTTTCAGGGTGTCCTTGAAAACTTGAGAAACAAATTAAAAAATATGTTGATAAAAACCAAGATATGAAGCATTTGCATTGTGGAGACCATAGTTTTTCCAGAGGTATGTTCTATACTGAATAATAGTTTTTAAAGATTAGTCCAGAGGAAGAAAATTTGAAAATAAGGAATATACGTACAATTTCTACTTTGCCATTAGCTTGTAAGTTAAAAGAACTCATTAAATTATTTTTCTGAAAATTCATCATTTACATGTAAAATAAAAAATTGGCGGGGTGTTGATTTAAAAAAGAAAATAATGAATTCCTTTTATGGAAAAGGTTCGTTCGTTTTTGTTTTTGTTTTTTTTTCATAAAAAGACAATACTAGTATATATACTCACAAAACCATCACTTTAATCAATATGGACAATGCACAAGAAATGAGTTTCTTTAAAATATGTTTATTCTATTAGTATCATTTTTTGACATTTGTCCATTTTTTCTGCATCTAATTCAAACAAATATGAGAATTTCAATATTTATATGTTCACGCTCTGACGGGTTTTCAGCTGAAAAGACTGTAATTGTTTTTCACTTGATATGCAATTGCACATCAGTGTTTCTGAAGTATAGTTGACAACACAGGGATAAAAAGGAAGACTATCATATCAGGTAAGTTTTTAAAACTTTATTATTTTTTTTAAAAAATATCATTTTGCCATGTTTCATCATTGATTTTTTTTCCCTCATATTTTACGTACATATATTTACGTTACGTATATTAGTTTAAAATAATCCTTTTTTAACAGTATGGCTGAAATATTTTATGTTTCTATCCGATTCTATAAAAAAACTAAATTAACAGTTCATAAATTATGAATTAATTTAAAGAAAAAAAATGAAAGGGATAAACAGGAAAAATCCCTTTTTTTGTATTTGTTAACATTAATAAAACAAAACCAATGATTAGGAAAAAATGAATAAAACGAAAGCACAGAAAGAAAAATAAAAGGAAAAACAAAAGTCAACATCCAAATTGAATTAATATTTACAGTATTTATGTATTGAAATACTTCAGGAGAATTTCGAATGTCTTTGAAATATACATGTATCTTTAGTGACAAAACATTTATTATTGAAACAATTTTATTAAAGAGGCTTAAACGTCTATAGATGCATTATCATTAGGAAAAAATAAATCATAACTGTAACTGATTATATAGTAATAGGAAATTAAGTTTAAAAATTAATGATATTTAAGCGCTTTCATCACTCTCCACCAGGTGCGAAACAATGACATGTAAATAGACTTCAAATTGAGAATGTCCCTCAAATACAAATTGAGAGAGGGCAGAAGCAAATGGATATGAAATAACTCTTTATAGAGAGGAAACCACAGGATAAATAATGTGGAAAATACGTTAATTAAAGACAAAATAAAATTATTGTAAATATGTTATTGGTGCATCAATGCTGAAGGTGGTGTTACTAATTGTAGAAACAGTGATCACATGGATTTGCATGTGTAATAACTTCAGTTATAAACCTTCACTACATGTTGTTTAGATTCAAAGAATACCAAATTCATGTCTAAATTTCACTAAGAAAAGTATCACCTCTGCAGGACACTCGTTTCTTCGTTATGCTAGATAAATCAGAAGTAACAAAATAACATAGTTTTTGTTTTAAACATTTTTTTTGAACTTCAACTAAGATGCAATTGGATTGATTTTGCTAGTGTTAATGCAATTTGTACGTTTTTTTCCTTTCCAAAGGAAGAAAATTTTTGAAGATAACGAACAGTAATCAAGCTCAAAAGTCCATTTAAACAATACAACTTATGACCTCAAAACACTGACCTCTTAAAACAGAGGTTGGATCAGGTGCCTTGAAGGAGGAAGCCCCCCCCCCCTTCCCCCGGTCGACCGGTCACATCTGCCGTGTGATCTTTGCCATGATCGAGTAAACAGAATTCAGTGTCAATTCAGTTTAAAAATAATGGCCTAACAATTTGTATGAAAGACGTCAGTCAATATTCCACTTATAATCATACGTCACCTTTCATTTCGAACACAAAATCGTTACAAAGATACATAGCGGAATCTAGTAAATGTTCTAATAAGCTTCTCTCTCTACTCCTCATGAAAGAAATTACAAAAGGGATTGAACCAACTGGAAGACATAAATACCAAATGCAGAGGATAATGGTATAATGATGTTTCATTAATGAGGGAAGTTGACGAAAGAAAATTTGGAGTCATCACGTTTATCATATAGTTTATATCAGTTGTTATCATATAGTCTAGTAATCCATACAAACCCATACGGTTCATAATGCTACATATTCACTGGATATGAGGCTGATTTGGCACGTAGTTAGAATGGTTGCATCAGTCGGCACCAGCTGTGTATCTGAGCAGGGAAAACTTTAGGCAAGCAAATCGCCGGATTTTTATTCGAATATTTCGATTGGAAATGATGTTTGACACACTACGAAAGGAAAACAGGGAAGTTATGACTTGTAATCTTGACATTTTTGGAAAACTTTCTGCGACAGAAGTTCGTTAATGAAAATGATGTCGTCGTGCAGCCTTCAATGTATTATTTATTCGAATCCGCACTATATCATAAAATAACTATGGATTCTTTTGGTTGGTAAATATGGTTTGATATTCGCCAGAAAAAATCAGCATTGGCCAAGGCGAAACCTTGATATTGATATTTTTCTGGTTAATAACAAACCATATTTACCAGCAAAAAAATCCATCGATATTGATATTTTTCCTGGTGAATATCAAATCATATTCACCACCAGAAGAGTCCATAATTGTATATTAGTTTGCAACGAATGGGATTTGGAACAGTCGTGGTGTCTTTTATTTCGGGTTCAGAGGGATTAATTTTTATCGATCATCAATATATCTGAATATTCCTCCATGGTACCAGATCCCACTCTGATGTTTTTAGAGGTCCGTGTTTGCTCTGCCCCCGATTGTATTGTATCAATGGACTTCTGAGCTTGATTACAGTTCGTTGTCTCCATATTTTATTGAAGGCCACAGACACCTTGTTTTCTTATAGTTTCTGATTTAATTCTGCCTTATAAGAATGCAAAAACAGGTTTGTTAATAAAGGAGCACAATAACAACTAATGGGAATTCCAGGAGATTTTAGAAGGTCTTGTTTCCCAAGACTACATCTATTAGATAATGTAAATTATGAACTCCAGCATCTTTTAAATGTAAACAAGAATATTTGTGTGTAGAATAAGAATTATTTTTAATGAATAATTTTCAAAATGAATAAAAAAACATTCGAAATTTCCGAATTCCATTTTTAGTTAAGAAGAGCAAGATATGAAAATCTGTTTTAAAATGAAGAAGCAGTTGTCTATGATGCCATAAACTTGTTCTTTTTGTGATTTCAATTTTTTCTTCGGTTCTTTGGATTTTTTTTCGTATCCACATAATTGACATTTGATTAACAATTTCAGCCTATATTTGTGTTAAATCGGAATGGTTTTAACAAAGTAAGTCTGTAGATGAATATAAATAAGTAGATAAAAGATAAAGTTAATAAATAAATAAAATGATTAATTTAAAATGGATAAATGAGTTGCAATGACGTATATAACTTCTCATTCAGGCTGAAATTTTATAAGGTATGCAAGATTTATCTGGAGGAAGCTACATATTGGGGAAAAGAAAACAAAGAATAACAAACAATTTGAGACATTTCCATTTCCTTTGTAGTAGTCTGTCTGTGTTTCCTTGATAACTTTTCGTGTTATCAAATTTCAGAAAATAAATCAAAACAGATGGAATGCATTTGTCACAAGTGCCTTTTGTGTGTCAAAGTATGTGTAACATCAGTATTAATATCATGAATAACTGGTTAATAAAATTTAGGAGTCTGGACCGTCATACCTCCATATTTCATTATACATGACACTATCTACATCTGGCATTTTCAAATTAATCATGTCTTTTTAAAAATAAACTATCCATTACCTACCTTTGAATTAGACCTAACGAAAGGTGTCCATCTGTTCATTTTTCTGTCGGACCAGCGTCAAGTACACAGGAACTCTGAAAGGAAAAAAAAACTTTTACTCTATAATTAGAACTGAAATAGCAGCATTGACCTCCGGGAGTTACGTAACCGCGTGGTATCTGGAATGAAGTGTATCTTGCAGTGATGTAAAGTGCCTTGAACTATATCTAGTGAACTCCTTCTATAGTAGACTAATCACAGACTTCTCAATATGTATTAATCATTTCTCATCTTCTTTAGACGGGATTGATTTCACTTCTGTAAAAGGTAGGAAACACACAAATTTTTATTATCTCGTTATCTCTACGTAGCATGGATTGTGTTTTGCATGTCGTTTATGTTGTTATGTAATAGTGTATGGACGACTATAGGATCTGCTTCACTGAGAATTAAACACAAATGCTAGAGAAGATTGTCTCTTTTACCTTTAAATGTTTTATTTCATTGTCACATTGACACTATAAACCAATCTTATTAATCGATGTTTTATAAAACATTACATTTATATAGGAAGAAGACATGTATTGCTTTTTTTTTCAATTTCCCACCTATAACTAAATATAACTAAACTGACAGATAAATAACCTACAAAGCGGAAGTGAAAATAACAAAAAAAAAAAAAAAAATAGAGATTCGCTACTACAGGATATTCAGATATCCATCCTTGATAAAATATTCGTCCGTGATATTGATTGCACACATAAACAATAAGCTTTAAAGCTTTCTGATACATTTACTGCTGTTACGTTCCTGTTCATATCGACCTACTAACACAGAGACCGTCATTTTTCTAGGCAAGATCTATCATTTCTGAAATAAGTAAACAGTTATTTTCTAACTTTATTTTCAAGCAAGTGTACAAAGTTTCATCAACATTTTAATCTGTGTCTCAATGAACTCTCTCTCCACACACACACACACACACACACACACACACACACACACATATATATATATATATATATATATATATATATATATATATATATATATATATATATATATATATATATATATATATATATATATAATATTGGCCTAATGCTCAAATAACATGAACGACAAACCTTAACGCTTGCATTGTATTGTATTGCAGCATTGTATTCTTACAGGAATCAAAAAAAAAAAAAAAAAAAAAAGAAAGAAAAAAGAAAAAGTTTAAGTAATTGGTGTGTCTAATGAGGATATGTAGGTTTTCTTAAAGCCTAAATTCTTAATACAAGGAATGAAATGATTTCTAAAAAAAATATTTGAAATGATTTCTAAAAAAAATTTTGATAATTTCGTTTAAAAAATTCAGAAAGGCCATTCTCGTGTCTTGAAAAAAAAAAGAAAATCAATTTTAAACAGCTTATAGAGTGAATAGTGCAGTGGATCATAGCCTTTGTGATGCAGACAAGGGTAAAGATCTAATAAATGAAAGGCACTATAGCTTATGGCACTGATGCTTATTTCATTAATATAGTTTTGTTATATATATATATATATATATATATATATATATATATATATATATATATATATATATATATATATATATATATATATGATGTCGCAGAAAAAAAACATTAACTAAATGTCTTAAGCGTTTGCTTAATTCCTTTTCACCTTTGATAAAAGACATTAATAATGAAAATCCACGACATGTCTGTAGTTTCCTGATCATAGTCTTTAGGCAATATTGATTCGTGGAATTGCAACTTTGCAAGAACAGTGATATTTCTATCACGAATCAAGCACGATTCTATGTATTTTCAGCAGATGTTATATCAAAATGAAATTTAATATAAATTGTAAAATAAACATTTTATATAAAGCAATATAGGTAACAGATAAAGCAAATTCGGATATTATTCAGACATTACTCAATCTCAACTACAACACTTTCAAAATTGATTTTTAATTTCATAATCAATGCTGAGTTTGTGGATAATCATGCTCAAAACAGATTCTTTAATAAAATAAGAGACATAAAACATTAAGTAAGTAAATAAAGGAAATTATTTAAATTAGACCCCAAGATATCAGAAAATAATTTCTTCGTAAAATTTACAAATTGTGTTTGAATTAGATTTTTTTTTGAATTTTGAAGAGTTAACAATTTATCTCAAAAACGCACCGAAAAGAGAAATTATGAGTTAGACTGCCAATGACGGTAAAATATTGAAAATGTTTTGCCAGGGTCATTAGTTCATATCTTTAAGAAGATGGGATTGAATGAATAAGGATGAGTTTTCAAAATTTAAAATTTAAATTATCTATCAGATGTATTATTTTTCTATAACCATGACATTAAATGAGTTTATACGTAAGAGTAAATTGAGGATAATAAAGTTTCTTTTTCAGAAGATAATTTTATGCATACCTCTTCAAGGAATCATATGCTAAATATTCATATATCTAACAGAACACAGATATAAACTCACATGAAAAAATCCTTGAAATACAAAGGTGAGAGGTAATGTAGGAAATGTTAAATATCACATAGCTGAAATAAGTTTATATGTAGGACAAGTTTACAGGAAGTTAAACATATGTATTTATTACGTACTACGTTTTAAACATATGTATTTATTACGTACTACGTTATATATATATATATATATATATATATATATATATATATATATATATATATATATATATATATATATATACCATGCATAATTTGACACCGCGTTAAGTGTGTTTGTTTCAGATACACAGTGACTATTACTTACTTACTTAGTCCACTCCGTGCCTTAAGCACATAAGGCCTTATAGATGGACCATTTGGGGTATCTTCCACCTATTCCCACTTTTTAAAAATCCCAATTCCACCTATTCCCACTTGCAAATAACTATGGATGTCTTGATATTTTGTTGTTGTTGTTTTTGTTTTTATAGCACTTAAAGGTTAATTACATCCCACCTATTTACCTGTATTTAAGAATTTTAGAAAATAAAATAAATAGGTTTTAGAACAAAAATGATCTAATGCACTTATAAATTTAATAAATGTACATTTTTAATATGGATTAAGTGCTTTTATTTATCTATATTATGCACCAAACAAAGTATGAATTTGTCCTACGTAAGTAAAGGCTTATGCACTTTGTTTATAAAATAAATAAATAATATAAATTAATTATTTCATTTTTTCTTTCAAATAAAGGTAAAAAAAAGAATTTTACAATAAAAAAAAACTCAGTTATCTAGCTATCTTAAATCCAATTAGGAGTTAAATACTCACTGTTTATACAGTAATTATATGTTTATACTGTTAATTATTTGTATTCCACCTTTTCCCACAAATTTTACCCTTTCCTACTTTATTTTTCTAAAAATGAGAATAGGTGGAATAAACCGACTATTGGTAATAAGATAAAACCGCCTTACGATTTGCAGACCTTTATTTCTCGATGGGTCGGACAGCATCAAGCAGCGAATGTTAACAAATATTCGTACTAAAAGACAATATTGATTCTTGGCAGAACTCGGCAACAATAATTAAATATCTCAAAGTACAGTTCTTTTGGTCATATCTAATAGCTAATTAACATAATTAAATATGCTGTGATTATAAGATCTGTCATGTCGAAGCGACTATGACAACTCATTAAAAAATAATCTATAAGTTGAATTTGATAGTGAAAACGTTCAAAGTAAATGTTAAAATGTCTGGAAAATTTTCACCTGTGACAATAGCAATCTTCGAATATATTTTCATTTTTGTTGATACAGGTACAAATCTAATAAATTAATTAAAATATGTAAAAGGCTTTGGCAGAATTTGAAAACTTACTGCGTAAAAGAGTGGTGTGGAAGTCTATAGCTTACTTAGGTGCGTAAAAGAGCAAAATATGTCAACGTTTTGACACTTAAAAGTTAAAAGGAATTATTATTAATAGTAAACTAGAAAGTTGAAATATTCGTTTTTAATAAACCTCAATAGAATTTGCGCATGTTGAAACGTCCTTTTTTATGTCACCTGAGTCACTCAGGTGATCTATTGCTATCTGTTTTCGTCCGTCGTCGTGCGTCGTCCGTCGTGCGTTAACTTTTGAACATTTTTAACTTCTTCTCTAGAACCGCTCAGCAAATTTCAACCAAATTTGGTATATAGCATCTATGGGTAAAGGGGAACAAAAATTGTGAATTTCATGGTCCCTGCCCCCCCCCCCCCCGGGGCCTGAGGGGTGGGGCTAAAACCACCAAAAATAATGCAATCTTTAAAAATCTTCTTCTTTACTCCTGGACATCAAGCAGTCAAACTGTTGGCATCATTGTAATAAGCATTGAGCCCTCTACCAAAATTGTGAAATTCATGGCCCCAGGGTCAGGGGTTCTGGCCCCAGGGTGGGGCTATATAGATCATATAGTGAAAGTGCATTAATTCTTTGAAAATCTTCTTCTCTGCTCCTGGGTATTAAATAAAGTTACTAAGTACATAGTTATGATGAGCAAAAGTGCCTCTTCCAAAATTGTGAAATTCATGGCCCCAGGGTCAGGGGTTCTGGTGTTAGGGCAGGGCTCTATTGATTATATAGTGAAAATGCATTAATTCTTTGAAAATCTTCTTCTCTGTTCCTGGGTATTAAATAAAGTAACTAAGTACATAGTTATGATGAGCAAGAGTGCCTCTTCCAAAATTGTGAAATTCATGGCCCCAGGGTCAGGGGTTCTGGTGTTAGGGCGGGGCTCTATTGATTATATAGTGAAAATGCATTAATTCTTTGAAAATCTTCTTCTTTGCTTCTGGGTATTAAATAAAGTAACTAAGTACATAGTTATGATGAGCAAAAGTGCCTTTTCAAAAATTGTGAATTACATGGCCCCAGGGTCAGGGGTTCTGGTGTTAGAGCGGGGCTCTATTGATTATATAGTGAAAATGCATTAATTCTTTGAAAAATCTTCTTCTCTGCTTCTGGATATTTAATAAAGTTACTAAGTACATAGTTATGATGAGCAAAGTACCTCTTCCAAAATTGTGAATTTCATGGCCCCAGGGTCAGGGGTTCTGGTGTTAGGACGGGGCTCTATCAACTATATAGTGAAAATGCATTAATTCTTTGAAAATTTTCCCCTCTGCTCCTGGGCATTAAGGTGATAAACTAAGTACATAGTTATAATGAGGAGGTGGGCCTCTTCCAGAATTGGGAAAGCCATGGCCCCTGGGTCAGGGGTTCTGGTGTTAGGGCGGGGCTCTATTGATTATATAGTGAAAATGCTTTAAATCTTTGAAAATTTTCTTCTCTGATCCTGGGTATTATTTAAACAAACTAAGT